AGATGGTAAATCTTGTGTGCATTAGACCATATTAAAATATGTATTTGAACATGAAGAGAGAGTTGGGTGGCTGAGTTGGTTGAGTGTCCCACTCTTGATTTTGGCTCAGATCATGATCCCAGGGTCGTGGGATCCAGCTCCGTGTCAGGCTCTATGGTGACAGCTCAGAGCCTGGAGCCTGCTTCGGATTCCATGTCTCCCTCTCTCTCTCGGCTTCTCCCCTGCTCACACTCTGTCTCTCTCTTAAAAATAATAAAGATTAAAAAAAAATTCTCCTTCTCTCCCTCTGCCCCTCCTGTGACTCCTGTGCACGCACTCTCTCTCTCAAATAAATACATACATACATACAGAGAGAGAAGAGCAGCCTGCGAGTGGAAGCAGGCACTGGGAATCAAGGAGCGCGGGGCTGGAGAGAGACCTGGCCATTGGCTACAACAAGCAAGCGCAGCATCCTTTTCAGCCTCCAGGCTTGTGAGTCCCCTGGGCTCCACCTACTAATTCCACTACTGAGCGGGGAGCAGGTAGTAGAAAGAACCCGTCTCCCAATTTTCTTTGGAAACATTGAACTCAATTTAATTATGGACCTTTACAATCCTTTTACATCTTTGACCTTGGAGAGGGAGTAAGAGCCAGACCCCTGCAGACATTTCACTTCTGGCCCCTGCCTCTCCCCCACAGTCCTTACTCAGGATGTGGACACTAAAAGTAGACAACTCAACCCCAGAGAAAGTGCAGGTCATGTCCGCAGGGCACCGGTACAGGGACAGCAGGTATAAATATTGATTTACTTAAGTAAACTCGACATCCAGCACGGGACTGGAACTCACAACCCTGAGATCAAGAGTCGCACATTCTTCTGATCGAGCCAGCCAGGTGCACACAGCCCCCCTTTTTTCTTAATACTTGGGTAGCGTTTTTTTCTCGCTTAGCAAAGAGGGAAACAGAGCCGGCTCAGCAAGATGACTCTCCACGCTGTCGCACCTGTTCAGGCCTGGCCCTCCAGGCTCCCAAGCGGCTCCTCAGGGAGGGCAAAGTTCTGTGTTTGGGATTTCGGGAGCCACCACATGACAAACCTGACTGGCTGAAAGTTGAGCCGACCTTGGGTGCCTCCATCTCCTTGTGGCCCCATTTCATCAAACAACACATTGAAGAAGTTTTAGAGTAGAAAAGAAGAAATGGGCCGGAACAAGCTTTGGAAGTATGAATGCGGTGTGCTCTGTCAAGTGGCTATTAACAGTTCCTTTGGATTCACCAATCTGTTGAGTTCAATTACAGGAAAAGGTTGTATGTGAAGGTATGTCAAGTCAGCCTTCGTGTCTCTCATCATTATGTGAAAAAATAAAAATACTTTTGTACTCTTCAGATTGTCTGGATTGTGACAGGGTGTAGACAATGTCAATGCTAAGGCTCATTATTAGAAGCATTTCAATGTGGAAGTTACCAGCTGGTAACAGGGTCAGTGGAAATTAAGGGCACATTGGTAAGAAAACTTGTTAAGGACATAAATTTTTCAAATCACTGGATGAGAATTTACTCCTTATATCAACTTAAAAAAAATTTTTTTGAAAGAGAGCATAAGTGCACGGGTAAAGGGCAGAGAGAGAGAGAGAAAGAGAGAGTGTCTCTTAAGCAGGCTTCATGCTCAGTGCTGGGCCCAATGCATGACTCTATTTTGTGACCCTGAGATCACAACCTCAGCCAAAATCAAGAGGTGGACAATTAACCTACTGAACCACCCAGGCACTCCAACTTTTAATTTCTTTTTTTTTAAAACGTTTCTATATTTTTGAAAGACACAGTGTGAGCATGGGAGAGGCAGAGAGAGACACACAGAATCCGAAGCAGGTCCAGGCTCTAAGCTGTCAGCCGAGAGCCCAATGTGGGGCTCGAACCCACGACTGGAGATCATGACCTGAGCCGAAGTCAGAGGCTTAACACACTGAGCCACCCAGGCGTCTTCCAACTTTTAGTTTCTAATCAAAAATAGTCTTTGGTGGATCAGGGTATAGAACCACTTTTTCATTCAAAATACAGATGAGCACAAATACTGTTTTCTTCTGGAGGAGCCACTTTGATTAAGTCAGAAAGTAAATGAGGAATCCGAGTACCAGGAAAAAAAAAAAAGTTGGCAAAGTTGGGCTTCATCAAGCGAACAGTTCTACTATTCTATGACCTAGCCACCTGGGTCATCTCTAACTGTAAATAGCAGCCACCAGAGAATCCACCTGATGCAGGCACTCAGTAATTACTTACAGATGCACATACTCATGGTGAAATGGCTTTGGATCCCTCCAACAGTTACGAAGGAAAAACAGGGCTAGCTTTAGGTCTTTTTGGAATTCTCGGGCACCCCTCAACTGGTAGAAACATGCTAAGCTTTTCCCTGTAACTGTGATCCTGGGTCCAGTAAGTCCTGGGCCCAGGGTTATTTTGCCTGCCTCCGACAACGGTGACCCGTTAATTCTAGCCATCGGGGGGCACTGGACCCTTGAGCTCGGGTCCTCCCACGGAGTCCTGGGCAAGGCGTCCTGGCTAATGACTTGCTAAAATTGCCGTTTTTTAAGTGGCCTTACCTTAAAAAACAGAAACAACTGAACCATGAATATTAAAGCTTCCTACCAGGGTTACAAATAGAGAGCTACCTTCTCTGCATCCTTGGGCCCTCCTGCAATGATCTATTCTTCGACCTAAATATTTTTAATCCTCAAGTGGATATGGACATCGGAAGATGAGAAATTATGCCCGGCATGCTGCAAGTTTAGGTCACTGGACGTGCCGGCCTACGTTTTTATTCAAGTTCCTCTCAGTTTTTCTTTATAGGCTTGTTCCTTTGTTCTCCTCATTTGTAATTTAGGAAAAGCTGGCCAGTATATTATATCACTTTCACTGCTGGGTCTTATTGGGGTTCAGAAGTCTTTAAGGACAGACTTGTTAAAAAAAAAAAAAAAAGAAGAAGAAAAGCATAAAATGTGTCAGGGAAATGGAGTTCCTATAATTTCACTCACAAATTTTGCCTTTTAAATGTAGTTCTCCTGATGACAGTTCTGTGAAAGATGGCTTCCTTATTGTCATTTATTAGCCGTGACAGACAGCAACATGGCTCTCAGATACAGTCTCCCTTTGCCACAATTATCCAGTAATGCCCGCAAGGCAGAGGACTGCTCCAAACTCCTTCCTTCTGGAATGCTTCTCCCGAAGGCAACAGTTCAAAGCAAACCTCTATTAACTGGAACACTGACATCTGCAGAATTCTCTGGACATGAAGCTCCCACTACTCCTACGGTGACACTAGACACTAAGACATAATTACTTACAGTCCAGTCACCAGGAAATCAAGGTCAGCGCCCGGGCTAGATGTGAAGCCTCACATACCGGCTCGGAGGACCGCCACCACACAAATCACCCAAGCACAGACTGTCCATAGACGTACTTCCTCCTTAGCAAGGATCTTTCCTTGTTAAACCTGCACCAGCAGGGGGGGAAACATATTTTTTCCCTTGCTAAAATTCAATGTAGCCAATGGGACGAGATACAGTATCAAAATGAAATAAATTAGATGCACTCCTGGCTTATTAGCCTCCAGACATATTTACGAATGTGACATAAAAATTACACTCTTCACTAACAGGGCTCACAGCTCATAATGTACAGCCACATAAAAACCTACTGTATTTCCCATCTTTAAGTGTCTTCACTGATTTCTTTCTTCTACGTACCTGTTGGTTTATGCATTTTGGAGCAGAGGGCAAGTGGTTTGGGAAAGAGAAGAGAGAAAGAACAAATGGGGAGGCGGGGGAAGAAGAGATTTAGAAGAGAACAGGTGAAGACAGCAGAAGAGGTGGGCGGGGGGGAGACTGGGGTGTCCCGGGAGGGGATGGCTGGGGCCCATCGGACGGCCAGGACGGCCTGCCTGAGACGAGGAGCAGGGCACTTAGAGAGGGGTAAGCGAGCTTTCTTGACACCTTCAACCCGGTCCCTAAGGAATCATCTCCCGACAACCCCGGGGAAAATACCCGTACCTCCAACTGTTCTCCGAGCACGAAAACATATGCAGTGTGTTTCAAAGACGGTACAGAAACGACAGGAACGGAGGGTTAGGCACACGATTACACCATAAAAACGAACATACTTCAGTGTGGTAGATTTTAATAAGAGTTTAGTAATGTTGGTAAGGAGCCAAGTTACAAAAACGTTCTAGAATACAGAGTGCAAAACCTCAGAGGCAAAATAAAAACTCACGAAAACATAAGAGCGCTTGAAAACGGTAATAATCTTTAAGGCTTAGAACGCGTTTTTCTCAACAAAGCTACGGAGTGTGTCTAATAAAAACTAAGGGCGAGTAAAGACAGGCGCACGGCCACGCCCCCGCAGGCCACGCCCCCGCAGGCCACGCCCCCGCGGCGCGGAGACAGAGCTGTGGCTGAAAGAGCTCCCGTTACCAGTAGACCTGGAGTAAACGGTCTCGAGGCAGGCTGGATTTCCTCCCACCTCACTAACAGGGTAGGCATGAATTTATTCCCTGGTTGCAGAGCAGCCTTGGACATGGACCGTGTTGGCACGGGGAGGAGCAGCGACTCTTCCGCACGACGGAAGCAGCAGGGGCGGCGCGCCACCTCGGTCCCCACGACGCTCATGCCTCAGCAGGCACCGTTTTGGGGGCGAACAGGAACATCTCATTATTCAAGGAGCTAATGTAAGAGCTCTGCGTGAAGAACGCACAGAAAGTAAGAAACAAAAACAACGGGGGTCCCCCCGCCCCCAAGAAGAACGCGCCACTCCCCCGTGGGTGGCAGGACAGAAGCAGAGAACGCATCCCCGTCTCGTGTGCCCATCACTCCTCAGGGCAGACGCGCCCTTCTGCCTAGGATTTGTGGGTGGGTGGGTGGGGGTTTCAACTCCCTAAAGCAAGTCTTCTGCATCAGCTACTGTCATGTGGGTCCACGTTTTTTGTTTTTTTTCCAAGGGCGCTACACGTTCTGCTTCATTTGGGCCAGATGTTCAAATCAGTGTGTCTGATCATCCTGCCAGTAACACAAGAGCAATTATTTATTTGTCCTTCTAGCACCTGTAGCGCGGGGAGCAGCTGTGGAATCAGAAGAGCCACCAGTGTCCCGGCAAACGGGCACACATAGGGGAAGGCACCCCACTCCTGCCTTGTGCGGCAGGCCATCTACAGGCTTCTGTCCTTTAAACCCCAAATCAATGGTTTAAACAGATGCAGATTCCATGTGACAAGAGAGACCCGGGAAGATTGGAGGCTTTCTATTCGTGAGAGGTCTACTTTTGCTGTCCTGGCTATTAAAAAGTTATGTGTGACTTCAAGATGAAAGGCATTAGCAGCTTCTTAGAAGAGGATAATCCCAATCTTTTGGAGATTTAATGAGATGTAACTCACTGAAGCTTCTGGCTCGGTCTGCTGTTAATTGAATCAAAGTCAATGACAATCTTGCTGCACTTTGGTGTGAATTTCCTAAACACAAGAAACAAAATATATAAAGATATTATCCAGTGAGTAGTTTAAAGCAATTTGTTTACTTTGGCTTACCCTACATTTTCTGCGGGGAGGAGACAATTTCCCGGGATTCACTTGATATCTTATCTCTACAGAAGCCAATTATAGCACACCGTACTGAGAGGGACACGAACCAGAAAAGACTTAAGACCAAAAAAATGAGGCATGGGGTGGCTCGGTGTGCGCGTTCTCCAGCTAGCTGAGTTCATGAATTATCAGGGAGTCAAAGGACTTCTAACAAGTTAGCTGCACAACATGACACCTGATTACTAGTTTTCCCACCAGATTTATCTTCCTTCCTAGGAAATTTCTGCAGCCAAGTTGGAATGGCTCAAGAGCAAAAAAAGAGCAAATTTTCTTTTGCCTCTTGCACACACAGCAAAGCAAACCAACCAGCTTTCATGTGGAGTAATTTTCAAAGTCACATTCTAAAAATGCAGAAGTTAAATAAACCCACTATATATATTTTACTCCTTGATGTACCTGTTAAAATACTTAACAGGAAACTGGGGACTGTGTTCTTTTACAAACCAGTAAACGGTGAATATCTAATTATGATTATTATGAAAATAATCTGCATTTAAAGTCTCATTAAGGCCTAACAGTTCAAGAGATTCGTCACATAGAACCTCTATCCCCAGTGATGAAGAGAAGTATGTTAGGCCAGAGCCCCGCTGCTGATCACAAGTGCTGCAAAGGCATTGCTTTGAAAGCCGTCAGTCTCACAACAAGTTTCTTACCATGAATCGGAGGTGTTGAACTTAGCCTGCAATAAAACATAGGTCCCAATCCTTCCCTAGCAACAATAAGTAAAAAAGGCGAAATAACTTCAAATCTCAACTTAAAATGTTGTTGTAAAAAGCATTCCTGGTGTTTCAACCTGGTGGGCTACTTTCATCCTAAATTTTCAATGCCAGAGTGGTTGCATTTTCAAAATTCACCTAAGTTGAATGTGAATACTGTGACACCTGTGAAGTTGTATCTTCTCCCTACTAGAATAATTTTAGTCCAAACCCCGGAAAGCTACTGCTATTTAAGTGCAGTATCATCAGTCAGACCGTCTTCAGATACTTCTGTCACTGCTCTTACAAATCTACCCGGAGAATAATCTTGAGATCCTCAGCTCATCGCATGTAAAAAGATGTTTCCAAGTGTGGAAGTCAGGCATCACGAGTAGAAATTAAACAGCAGCCAAGGTCAAATGTTTCTTCATGAGGCCTTTCAACGACCTTGACCCCTGGCTCTTCCTGCTTACCTGAAGGCCACCCCAGCCATGTCAAACAGGAGCCTCGCGGCTTTCGTCTCATCGCTATCGTGGTACTTATCAGATATGAAAATAACTTCTTTTATACCTTCAAAGGCAACAGTGAAAGAAGTCCCATTAGCATTTGCATGAAAAGATGCCGCAACAGACGCGCAGAAACAGACTGAGCCCCGGAATGTCTCCGGTTCATCACCTTTTCCCAGTGTGCTCGCGCACAATGTCCAGTCACTGAAATACACATCGGCTGCTTTCCGATATGGCAGAGGATGTTATATTTAATCTGCCCTCCAGTCTTTATAGATTTTTTTTAACAAATGCAAAGTAAAAACGTGTCAAGTGGTCGAGCCTTGATCCGATTAACAAATTTTCTTCACTGTGGGCAATCAAATATCTTTAGTCACAGAACAATTTCTCTTAACTCAAGAGGCAGATGGATGCAGGGGAGTGGACAGTGGTGGCAAAAGTCCGAGGTAAGTGCCATCGTGGTTCCCAGAATGGTTCTGCAAACAGATTCCAGCCAGCCGCACGGACGGCAGATCTATCTGTTTTCTGTCCTGTCCCGCGGGCGGGGCTCACCGGAGGGCACCTGATGTCCCACCCTGCTCCTCCACCAGCCTCTGAAGGGACCACAGGAAGCTGGGTCCACGTGGGCTGAGGAAAACTCCCGGAGGGGCGCGCACCGCCGGGGACAGAGCCCACGACGTCCCTTAACCGGGGCGGCCTCTGAATCTGATATGGCCAGACGTCTTCTCCTCAGAGAACCCCCCCGGCATGTGATAAACAGCCCCTTTAAACCACACATCTGGCTAACATGGTAAGTCTTTAAATCTCAAGCTGAGAGCTTTATGGAGATAAAGTGTAGCTGAATCTTAGATGTGACAGTATGAAAAAGGTGAAATATTCAGAACACAATGGTGTAGATTTATGGTAACTGTAATGTAAGGAAAACTTAAAGTAGTACCGTTCGAGTCTTATGACATTTATATGCAAAGAAATGTTTAGGTCCTAAAACATCTACCATATATTAATCCAAATTAAAATTTCAGAGACGGCCTCCCAGCTGACCTTGCTTCTGACAGAAGTTCATTTCTCTCCCTCCCCCTAATCTATGCACAGTGTGTCAGAGAACAGTAAATTGACAGTAATTGTATGCAATGCCTGTGTTGTTTTTTTTGGCAGCTTGCAGTTTAAGAAGTTACAAACTAAATTAAAAACATGCTAAGAATCACAGAGGATGCAATTAGTCTTCGAATACCTGGCACCGTTCGAAAGCAAAACACGGGAAATACCTTGCAAAATTGATAGTGCAATTAATTTCGATCTCAACTGTAGCAGTTTAAGATCAAGCACGTTCGCAGGGAGCCGCCGATGGGCAGGCAGCAATGCAAATGTGACAGAGGGGACCGGCCCGGCTCCTACCTGCCTGGATGATGAGCTTAGCACATTCATTACACGGGAACAAGGCGACATACATGGTACAGCCTTTCACGTCAGCCGAGTTTTTGTTCATGATGGCGTTCAGCTCGGCGTGGCACACTGCGGTTGAAAGAGAGAGAAAAACTTACATCACAACTCAGGAGGCACGTACTCGCACTGCTGAAGCATTCCGCTTGACCCTTGGAAGAAAACACGTAGAACAGACTCAATTTAAAAAAAAACAACTAATTATGCAAACTACTGAGAATAACAGATGAGGGCCATGTGGTCTGATAGGTCGGCTTTTAGTAGTAAAACCAGTCATGGCTGCAGCCCTAGGTCTGGAAGCCCTAGGTCTGGAAGCACCTAGCAGCCAGGAGAGGCCAAGGTCAAGTATCTCCACTCACCCTAAGCGCGGCAATAGCTCACGGCCCCACAAGGCCCTGGGGTATGGAACTGTGCACAAAAAATGGCTCATTTGTGTGTAGATCCGCACACGTAGGGACGTTCGCTGGGACCACTGGGAGGGCAGGCTGCAATTTTAAGAGCAAGGGAACCAGGAAGTGAAGCCACGTATTTCTGTCCCGAGGATCGGCCTCACCTCCTGAATCTTGGCCCACATACACACAAGAGACTTGACGGCAGACAAGCAGCGGTTTCTTGTATGAAGAAAAACATTCATCCACGTAAGGGAACGTCAAGTTCTTGCTACACAGGACGTTCCACCAACGATCCCCTAACAGTGATCTGGGGTGATCCCCACACTTGTCTCAGTTCAAGGGTACAGGGAGCACCGGCCTCTCCTCTCCCGCACTCAGAAGCTCATACTGGTTGGCCAGGTGTTGCCACCACCTAATCTACAAGGGTGCCCTCTCCACAGGGGAGTGCTACCCCCAGCCCAGATTTCGTCCAGAATCCCCTCCCGCTCAGTAAGGTGGCTCTCTTCTGTCATTACGGAAGTTTCTGGGTGCGTCGCTAAAACTATATATCACGATCTCCTGCAAACTCGTCTGCACTCGTCTGGGGCGTGGCCTGGGATTTGGGTTTTTATGAGAATCGGCCGCATGCTTCTGCGCAGACACGTTTCGGAAACCCAGCGTTGCACAATCCTCTGGTAACCCCAGGGGAACTTGACACACACTAAGCACACAAGTGCTAAAACAAATGTTTGTTGAACAAATTAATGACAATCTGGCCGTGGTCCAAATCATACAAAACCGCCTGAATTATAAATATGGGGGCCCTCTAGGGGACCCCCCCCCCGCCAACACCCTCTCCAACCCACCAACCTTCTACACTTCAGACCTTCTTCTGGGAGTTCTGAAGCTTTAAGTGAAGGGCAGCCTTAGCTCGTGGCTCTTGCACACATTAGCTGTGACATACCCAGCCCTCGAACCCATGTTAAGTGCCTCCTATGGCTCAGGCAGGATAAAGGCCCTGGCCCACCTTCCTCCCCAGGCCACCTGTTTTTCGGGTACAAGTAGAATTGCAATGCCTGCCCGTGCCCGTGTGCTGGGCCCTCTCAGGAACTGCTAGGGAGGGCTCCTTCTAGTCTACGAATGCCACAACTAAGGTCTTGGTCACATGCGTGGAAATGAACAGTTCCCCAGCACTGTAAGAAATTCCAAAAAAAAAAAAAAAAGAAAGAAAAAAAGATGTGCTTAATCAGATCACAGCCCATTAGAGAACAATCCCCGCCAGCCACAGAGGGACCTGGGCCACTCTCCCTGACATGCCAGGAGAGAGAAAAGAAAGGCTCCCAGTCTCGGTAGCCTTGAGGACACTAGGCCTCAGAGAGGCCCCGTAGCCCCATTTACATCCTTACATCCCTTACATCCGGTGACCTAGTCATTTCCAAACTGGGATTAACACTGCTCCGTGTTAAAAACAATTAGATGTAATTGTTTCTTTTATTTCCCCCTTGAGGGCGGAGACCAGTCTTCTATGGTCTTTGTAGCTTCCCCAGAGTCCAATGCGGGGCCATGAACATAATGGGTGTTAAATATTTATTGAATGACTAAAGGAGGAAATGCAGATTCCAGTTGTTGATGGTGACATTGGGAGATGCAGAAAGTCCTCTTAAATTCAAATATCAGAAATATGCTTTCCCATCTAATAAATATTTTTTGATGGTGTTGGTATTAATATTCAGAACTAGAGTTTCCGAGTCCATTAGGAAACACTGTTCTACTGCCTTCATTTGAATCTCTAAGAATGGTGACCAATGCTCCAAATGTCTTCCTCTAATTCATCTGAGGCAGTTTGGGGACAAAATTTAACATCGTGTGGTCTGGATCCAGTAATGAAAATTACCATATGAAGCAGACTCTCTGGGGGACGGCCGGGTATAAAGGGTGGTCTACGGGAAGAAAACCCGGGGTCGCAAACAGACTTCTTTCTCTTGGCTGCAAAATCTCAAGAAGCGAAATACAAAGCTTCTTGTTAGAGAGACGTGAGGTCTGCTGGGCAATATGAACAACTGAGTGTCAGGCACGCAGGAGACCCTTCAAAGGGACCATTCAGTCCCCAGTCCCACAGATCCCAAACTAGACAGGCTGAAAACAAAGCTTCAGTGCTCCATCCACGCTTGACTTCTGTTGCTCATCCCTGTGCCCCCTCAAGTTCAGTCCTAACAGACGCCCCCTCCAGCCTTCTCCCCGGAGCCCCTGGCCCACCAATCCCACTTGATGAACACCAGCTTCCCAGGCTGAGGAGGGAAATCCCAACCCAACCCAGGGAAGCCCCTGCCCAGTGATCGGCAACCTCTCCACATCTGTCTGTCTGATCCTACAGTCGGAGACATTTCTGGCCTGGCATTGACCTCTAAGGTCTGTGCTCCCCACGGCCAAAAGCGCCCTGCATTTCTCTTCAAGACTGACCCACCAAGGAGGCACCATCGGGTGAGGCCTCAGGCCCACGCTCCGTCCTCCCTGAGGAAACAGGCGGACTAACTTGACTGTCCATTGGATTAGATTAGCAGAGGTCAGTCAGAGTGGAGTCTGAGGACTCTTTCACCATCAGATAACAGGCGACCGCCAAATCTCAAATCTGCTCCAGGCCACAAAGAGCTGGTGGGCCTATGAGGGGTGGCCCCAGGGCTCTGGCCAGCCTGCCTGCAGACCCAGAACCTCCGAGAACCTTCCTGAACTCTCTGCCTCCCAGGCAAGGATGGAGAAGGGAGAGCTCTGGAGTCAGCACAGGGGTCAAGGCCCAGTTGCCACTTGAAGCTGTGTGGCCCACATCAAGGTACGGAAGTGCCCTTGTGTGGCAGGAAGAGGCGACTCCGAGAAAGCACATTTCCAACGAACTCAAAGAAGGGAGTTTTGAAATACCAAGTAATCTAATTTTTAGCTTTTTCCTCTGGTGTCCAGTGTCCTCCCTCCATCCACTAGAGGGCTGATCTTCTCCGGGACAGACTCTCGATGGCAGTCACGAGCGTCCTCGCCTAAGGCCCACGGCAGGGTGCACGCTGCTCTGGTGGCCCTGGCCTGTCCCTATGCCGTGTCTCTCCATTACATGTGCACACGTGTGGACTTGGTCTCCACTCTGACCGGGCCATCTTCTCAGCATTTTCCTTTTGAGACGGAACTGTCCTGTCTACAAGTGCTAGGCTAACCTGTTTTTAAAATAATCATCTCTTGGGGCGCTTGGGTGGCTTAGTCGGTTAAGTGTCCGACTTTCGCTTGGGTCATGATCTCGCGGTTCGTGGGTTCGAGCCCCACGTCAGGCTCTGTGCTGACTGCCAGCTCGGAGCCTGGAGCCTGTTTCAGTCTGTGACACCCTCTCTCTCTGGCCCTCCCCTGCTCACGCTGTCTCTCTCTCTCTCCTAGAAATAAAACATTAAAAATAAATAAATAAATAAAAATTAAAAAAAAAATAAAATAATCATCTCTTGGGGCGCCTGGGTGGCTTAGTCGGTTAAGCGTCCGACTTTCGCTTAGGTCATGATCTCGCGGTCCGTGGGTTCGAGCCCCGCGTCGGGCTCTGTGCTGACTGCCAGCTCAGAGCCTGGAGCCTGTTTCAGAGTCTGTGACTCCCTCTCTCTCTGACCCTCCCCTGCTCACGCTGTCTCTCTCTCTCTCTCTCCTAGAAATAAAAATATTAAAAAAAAATAATAATCATCTCTTGAGGCGCCTGGGTGGCTCAGTGCGTTAGGCATCTGACTTCGGCTCAGGTCATGATCTCATGATTCGCGAGGTCGAGATGCACATCGGGTGCTGCTGTCAGCACAGAGCCTGCTTCGGATCCTCCACCCCCCTCTCTCTGCCCCTCCCCTGCTCTCACACACACTCTCTCTTTCTAAAATAAACTTTAAAAAATCATAATAAATAAAATAGCGATCTCATCTCTTGACTTAGTAATGTATATACAACTTGGAGTTTTCACTGAACCAATCCTTTTCAAACTGTAGGTCAAGAATAAAGTGTAGTGAGTTGCAAACAGCTTTTTTATCCTCCTTTTTAAAATTTTTTTTTTAATGTTTTATTTATTTCTAGGAGAGAGAGAAACAGCGTGAGCAGGGGAGGGTCAGAGAGAGAGGGAGTCACAGACTCTGAAACAGGCTCCAGGCTCTGAGCTGGCAGTCAGCACGGAGCCCGATGCGGGGCTCGAACCCACGAACCGCGAGATCATGACCTAAGCGAAAGTCGGTTGCTTAACCGACTAAGCTACCCAGGCGCCCCTTATCCTCCTTTTTAATTAAAGGTTTGAAAGCAGAAGAGATCCGAATGTGTCCCACATGACAGAGGTTAAGCGCCGTTCCTAAAAACTGTTTCAGGGGTGTGTGTGTGTGTGCACGTGCACACGTGCACATGTGCCCTGCGTTGCCATTCAAAAAGCATGTAACTATGGAACCCTGTTGCCTCCTGTAACATGTCATTAGTATTTACAACCATGGGCGGGCGGGGGGGGAGGGAGGCCCTGATTTATAGAATCTGCTGACTTCGGTGGTGTGGGTATTCCCATGTGGCCAATTTCAAGCTCCCGACATGACAGAGTTGGGAAGAGACATGTGACCCGCTGGGAAAAGCCAGCTCCCACATACACCCCTGGGCGGCCCCACCTTCACTCAAACCCAGCCCGTCTCCAGCTGCCGTCCGTGTGCGTCTGCTCGCCAGGCT